ACGAAGGGGGAGTTGGAACATTTTCCATCTTTGCAGTTACATCATTCCAAATTCACCATTAAGATGGTCTGGTCAATGCTGATGAAGAAGCTGCTGTTTGGTAAGAACTGAGGCTGCAAGGATAACCAATGGCACACCTGTTGGCATGAGTTTTACAAGCTTTCCAATCAACAACATACTGGGCTAACGGTCAAACAAATACACGAAGAAAATGAAGAAAGCACTGAGGTTAAACACATGGGCGGGGGAGAAAGAGAAGGGAACCGGTTCTAAAGGCAGTAGTCCAGGAGGTGGCACGTGATTGGGCCAAGGGCGCTACCAACTGAACCGCTTTAGGGGATGAAGGACCATGAGATCAAGAAATAAAAGATAAACACAGCGCATTCTAAAATCCCTGTCACCTCCTCAAAGAACAGAACCTGCTGGTAAGTAGGAACTTTCCCCGGGTGGGGCACTACTTCCATGGCCTGCGAGTGTCTGGTGCAATATCTGGACATGCAATGTGTATGCCTTTTGCTTCATTTCCACTGACACACCAGAAGCCTTGGAGAATCAGAGTGGACGCTATGAGAGCACAGAAATGGCCTGCAAACACGGGAGAAACTGAGCCTTCACTGTGCACACACGGGAAGGCACTGGCCTGGAGGAGAACTTGGTAGGTATGACAAGGGGAATGTAGGACACAGGACTTCTCACTGCTGCTCAGGCCACCCCGGGAACCAGCTTTCTGGGTGGAAACACAATGGGATCAGCAGCTTGAAAATGGGAGTTAAGTCTGATACCAGAAGTGGAAATCGTGACTACCGAAAAAAAAAAGAACCCTTGCTGTTAGAAACACGCCATGTTCAGATGGCCAAGAGTGCACGCATCAAGACACTTAGCCACCCAAATGAAAAAGACCAGGGTCTGTTCAAGAAAGTGGGCTTACAGCTGGTTCCGCATTATTGTTTTATTGACGTCATGTGGACCCATCACAGAATAGCAGAAATTCCAAGCACATCCGGAAGTTTAGTACAGGAAAGATTTCCCTCCCAAATGACGCTAGTCGTTTTAATTATTCGTAAGAGTCAAGGAACAACCATTCTTTACAGATATCAAATTCAGAAGGAATGTTAATTATGCTTTTCCCATTGTAATGATGTCAGGATTAATTAAGAAGGTTTTGTTGGCTTTCTATGGTTAAGCTGTGACAACCACTCAAGTATCAAATGTCTAGAAAAACAACACAAATAAATCACAGTTTTGGAGGAATCTGGTGGTTAAGACATTGGGGCAAGGACCTTGGTAAAGGGTCAAGGCTAAGCCTCTGAAATCAGATGGCTGGCTGTGAGAAAGGGAATTATAAGTAGATGGGAGTAATGTTGGAAATTAACAACACTTCATTTGAGCCAAGCATCAAGATCCTCTTACCAGGGTTGCCCACAGCCAGCGACGCTCCAATGGGGCAGCCAAACCGGTTGGTGGCGGCCAGCTTGACTTATGGTAATTAATTCCAATTAAATTGACTGATCTGGGTTTTGCCTAGACCACATTCCTGCAGCCTTGTGCAGAAGTTGAGATGCTCTGACAAACTGCTATGTGCTAAGCAAACGGTAATGCATTATTATCTCTACACAGCCAAGGGGTTGCTTTCCAGGTTAAGTCACCTCGGGCCAGCACGGTTAGTGCAAAGTGAGGTGCTTCAAGACCAAGACAGCTCCACAAAAGATTTCTGACACCATACTTCTACATTATTTCTTCTTATCATTATTGTTGTTAAACTCTCACTGCAGTTAGCTTTAAATTAGACTTTACCACAGGTGGGCACATACAACACAGTGTATAGTACCTAGAGAATTCTATAATAGCTGACGTCAGGCCTCCACTGGGGAGGGGGTGCTCTCTGGATCTGAAGGAGTATTATTTTTTTAAGACTATTTATTTTTTTAAGTCTTCTTTTTTATTTGTTTAACGTGAGAACACATGCCAGAGTTTGTGTGTGTCAGCGAATCGTTGGCGGGAGTGAGGTCTCTTCCTACCACGTGGGTCTGCGAGACTGAACTCAGGCACGGCAGACCACGTCCTATGTACTGCGGTGCCGCTTGCCCCAGTAGCATTTTAGAAAGTTTTAGGAAGACATTTCCACATATTTTTTCTGCTAACCCAGGCAATCCAGCGGCATCCCAACCTATCAGAACCAACTAAATCTTTATCCATTTTTATGTCTTTATACAAATCGCTTTTCCAACATAAAAGTTGAATACTCTAAAAACTGGTTGAAAGTCACCTATGATTTACTCAGACTAGGAAAATTACATAATATACAAATCTTCATAGTGTAAAGGCCTATCTCAAAAGCAGTTCCTTCTGCAGAAAAATTATTATGTTCAGATATTTAAGATAAACTGACTCCTAGTCAATTAACATCAAGTCTACCCAAGATATTCATTTTTTGTTTAATTTTTTTAATAATAATAAGTCAATGATTATTGGACAAAGAAAGCAGGTTGAGCTCAGTATAGAGTCCTTCAAAAATTCACCTACTAAGGGTCAATTTCTTTTGTTAGTTACTACCTAGGATGACTCCATTTCTTGAAGGAGCTGAGCTAACAAATATGGAAAAAAATAACATAGGACATTAAAAGCTCCAGACACCTTCCATAATTTATACAGTTTCTAATATTTAATAATCTAATCATTTCTTCAATCCACTTCTTCATTAAAAAAATACATTACCGCTCTTAAAAGTATGACTGGTTTTTTGTGTATGTTTATATAATAAACTATGATAAAGAAAACATATAAATATCTTCAACTTGTCACACACTGGCCTACCAGGTCTTGCTTAGGGCGACACTGTCCCATTATTGATGTCAAGCCTGCTAAAGATATCAGAAAGATCAAAGCTTACTTGGCCAGCCATATCAAAGCTTACTTGACCATGGCTCTGATGAACATGTGTTCAAATATACATGTGTGTATACATATATATATATAAATTTGTGTATAATATATATGTATATGTGTATGTATAATGTGCCTCAGGCTGGCTTGAACCTTACTGTGTAACCGAGGGTGGTTTTGTACCCAGTCTCCCGCCTCTGCCTCCTCTGTGCTGGTGGTACAGCCCTGTGCATTCAGTCTGGTTTTATGCAATGTTAGGAATTGAACCCAGGGTTTTGTGCTTGTACTTTATCAACTGAGCTACATACCCAATCCCAATAAATACATTTTAGAAAATAAAAACCAGACATATCCACCTTAAAAATCTTGAAATTGTTAAGTGTATGGAAAAGATCAAAAGTAAATAAATAAGTAAATAACTATCAATGATGAATTTTTATATATTCAAAGTTGTCCACTGTTCTCAGTAATCTTACTTTACTTAAAAGGAAAATCTACATGATAGCACCCCTCCCCCACATCGTTTCTTGGGATAGGCTGCCTCTCACCACTACCTGGCGGCCCAGCCTGGGGTCAATACCCCTGTCTTAGTCTCCAGTGCCAGATTCCAGGACCACCGCAACAGCTAAACTTGCTGATTTCCTAAGCCTTTTGTATTGCCTATATGTTTATCCGCTCACCACCAGCGTGACTGCGGCTTCTGGTAACTCAGTAAAACAAGGGTGTTGGCAAATGCCAACAAACTCATTGCACCTGGGAGGGGCCCTCTTCTAAAATTCATTTTGGCCAACGTTAAAGTTGAGAAGGGAGTCCAAGGTTTCACCATATAAATAAATAAAGTTTGGCATGAGAACACATAACATGCATCAACAAAATAACTCTTGCTAATAAACAGCAGCAGGGTCCATGTAAATTCTTCCTCGGAGGAAGCGAGCAGATGTGAAAAATGAGAAGCAACCAAACACTGCTAATTTTACGCAGTTTTCAAAATACAATGCTTTATGGATTTTCTTGGCGAGAAGACAAACATTAAGGAGAACAGTTAAGTTACCCTCACTGCTAGGTTTTCTGAATAGAAGTTGGCTCAAAGTTACCATTCCTGTTTCCCAGTATCACATCAGTTCAAACAAAATGGATTTGGGGTGCAGCAGCTACTTCTTCTGACCAGAGAGGTCTCTAGTTCTCTAGCTGAACGCAAACTCCTCCTGAGAACTTACAAATACAATAATGGATGGCTTTCCTTTCTCTCGCTCGCACGGACTGCTGAAGACCCGGAATAAATCATGGGAGCACCAAGGCTGAAGAGCAGGCCTGTCGTTTCGACTGGAGTTTACTAGTTGTTCGTTACTAGTTACTAGTCTGTCGTTTCGACTGGGGTTTACTAGTCACTTGTTACTAGTTACTAGTCTGTCGTTTCGACAGGAGTTTACTAGTCGCTTATTACTAGTTACTAGTCTGTCGTTTCGACTGGAGTTTACTAGTCATTCGTTACTAGTTACTAGTCTGTCATTTCGACTGGAGTTTACTAGTCACTCGTTACTAGTTACTAGTCTGTCGTTTTGACTGGAGTTTACTAGTCACTCGTTACTAGTCTGTCGTTTCGATTGGAGTTTACTGGTCACTCACCTCCTTTGTTAACTCAAACCAAATGTTTCATCATTTCTCAAAAATGCCTTACAGGAGGTAACCACTTTATACAAGCAATGGCAGACCCAGCCTATGACATGCTCACAATAATTAAACACTTCCATTTTCTTCTTCAAACAATAACTTTTTGCATGAAATTACATTACTATTTCCGATATTAACCTTGCATTTTTTATGGATTAGGGCAGAAAACAAATCAAGTATCATCAACACAAACCCTATTTGTTCATGCCATCTCTACAGAAGTAATCTACCCGTCTCTGTTCACAAGAATTCACCATTTGCTTACATTTTACTGCAAATTCCTTAGGCTGGATCTCATATGTTTTCTTAACCACACTGCCTAAAGAAATAATTCAAACAGGTAAAACACAGACTACAGACCTGGTAACTGTAACTGAGAAAGAACTGTCTTAAACACATTAAAGCCACAATGAGGAAGCCAAAGAACAGAGGCGAAGGATTCTCACCGTCTGTCTCCGGGCTGAGCCTCTGCTATGTGGGAAAGGAAGCTGAGAAGGTTGCTGAAAACTGGCTCTGATGTCATCGGAGTCTTCAGATTCTCCCGGCCTCCTCGGTCAATGGTGCACCTTAAGAGCAGGAAGAGGACAGTTGGCAACCATTACAAACCGGATTTAGGAATACTATTTTGTGACATTCAATACATTTATCTCAGAATCTTTCATTGTTCAAATTCAATGCAAAAATATTTGACAGACAAATGTAAAATTCTTATGACTATCAAATTATTAAAGGGATGAAAAGGATCTTGCTGTGGAGAAATACATCAGCTTCTTAGAAGGTGCTACGACAAAACGAACCACAACAAGGATGTGCTGTTGCTACAAAGTGCTGTTCAATTACTTAATTGCAAATTTCCTAGTGTTCTGACAAATTCATACGTTATGATCCACCCCATAGCTATATGTACCCCTAAAGACATCTTCAAAACGAATATAAGAAAGAAAAATGGCTGGAAGTTTTCTTATAGTAATTTTTTTTTCTTTTCTTTTTCTTTGTCCAAGACTGGGTTTCTCCGTAGCTTTAGTGCCTGTCCTGGAACTAGCTCTTGTAGACCAGGCTGGTCTCGAACTCACAAAGATCCGCCTGCCTCTACCTCCCAGGTGCTGGAATTAAAGGCATGTGCCACCACTGCCCGGCCTTACATTACATTTCTTCAGTTTCAAAATACCAGCAGTTTAACTTTTCCAAAATAACACTAGTTGCCTTACGTTTGTACAAAGTCGGTGGGGCAAAGTTAGAACCAGGTTTGGTGTGAACAGTGTCAGATTAGAAAAACAAAACAAGCAAACAAAAAACATCATTGCCCAGATGAGGTAAACTGAGGCTCATGTCCACGCAACTATTAGAGCCCAGCACTACTATATCAATACAGCAATGATGAACAGAGAAATTATCCTTGAACAAGAAACTAGATAAAAGCAAACATGCTAATTGTAATTTCATTTGCATACAATCCTAGACAATGTAAATTAGCCTACTATGAAAAAAATTAGGTAAATGGGATTTCCTGGAAACGGATGTTACACAGGGAGGGAATTCAACAGGTGTCATCTTAAATTGTGGTCATGGTCTCATTTTGACTTAAAATGCCACAAAATGGTTTATGCCCCTTAATGTGTCAATTGCAAACCCAAGACTTACCCTAATTTAGAAGAAAAGAACAATGGAAGGCATGTAAAAACATTTAGCAAAAAAGAATGTTTATAATATGCATTATTTCTAACAGCAAAAATTAGGAATAGTTATCATATGTTGATATAAAAAACTCCTGAAACCAGTTAAATAACAAACTATTATACCACTGGATAGTATGTAAGGTATAGTGTCTTATGTATAAAGGATTATATAAGGAAACTAAATTACACTGAACGATATTTATTAAGAATTAAAGAAACAATCCTATGTTTAGCATAAATGGACTTTTGCATGAAAACTATACAAAAATGAAGGCATCTTTTCCCCTTTCGAAAAGAATATTCTTTCTGTTGATATATATTTTGTAATTTCTTCAATAAACAGACAAATAAAAAATGAAAATAACAACCAGGAAAGCTTGTGCCTGCCTAGTAGAGGTATAAAACAAAGGCAGCTAGAGGCAACCCAAGTCACAGAGGTGGTTCTGCTGCCTCCACCAGAGTGACCTAAATAGGGAGGGGAGGGCGAACCGGAAACATGGAAGCAGTCATTAAGCCGCATGTTTTCTCGGTTACCCAGCAGTTTATTAGGCTTGAGCATATTTGATCGTTATAGTGAGGATATACATATATAAAGAGATGGAGGAGGGTCCCAAATTCTATATTCTAAAGTCAAAGCAGACCTTGACGATAAATTCAGAAAGGAGTGCTCAGAGAAGTAAGATGGGAGGATCGCGTTTCTTGACTATATACAGAAGGAAGTTATTATATATCAACTTAAAAACAACCCACTGTTGCAATTATATTTATTAGAATACTGTAGGCACCTTGGAGATTCGCTACATCCTAATGCTTAGCTTTTGAGCTGTGCCCAATAAAAGTTCTAAGTCCACCTTGCCTTGGAAGAGAATACCAAACCTCTGACATCCTACTAAATGCAGGCTTTGAGTGCTCTTACATTTCTTCTCTTCTTGAGAAGTACCATTGGTCTTTAAATTTGGAAGAAGAGCATGACCTGACAGTGTTTAGGAATGCAGCACAGATGAAATTTTACAATCCTATGCTTCAAGGAATACTGTCCTTAGCAGGGTCCCCAAACACGGATATTCTATGAAGAATACCACACACTCCTGACAAGAGCAAAAGGAAGATTTGTAATGTGCCACATTAAGTGGCTGTCCAGGGTCTGGTGATGATGGTGGAGCATAAGGAGCCTCCACAGCATGCATCTTGCTTACACTCCAAGGGCAGAGAGCTATCACAATTCGGCACAACCGAAGCTTCCTGCACATAGAACCCTATAAAACTATTAGTGCTGTTTAATGGATAGGAAAACTGAAATTAAGTAATCCCAAATAACAAAGCTAAAGAAAGCTAAACAAAAAATCAAACCCAGATCAGGTTTGCACCTCAGCCTTTAGAAGGCAGAGGCAGGCAGAGCTCTGTTCAAGGTCAGCCTAGTCTACCTAAGACTTGTCTGAAAACACACACACACACACACACACACACACACACACAAAAACAAAAGAAAAAAAAGAAGAAACCAAAACCTGGGAACATTTTACTTGAAAAAAATTCCAAACCTTGGAAATTACCCGGAACATTAATAGTAAGTCTTCTATAGTAATATCTATCTACAGCCTACCCAAATAACAAAGACACTGGAAAAAAAAATCAGATCTATCTATTTCAATGACTGCTCTCCACCAGTATTGTTATATGTCTTTTGAGCTATGTAGGACCACAGAAAAAGTTGTTATGGGAATAAATGTTTAAGTGAGTCTCAAACAGAGTTCAATGGTTCAGATGTGTTTTGAACTATAACAATAGGAAACACATTTTCGAGAGGAAAATATTCATTCACTATCAGCTATGATATCAGAAGATCTGTGTGCTGCTGTTCACACTCGGCTTTGCGTTCGTTCACTTGCTTTACCTCTGTGCTGGACACCGCCAATTGCTCTTACTATACAGCTCTTACGTCAGGTGGTTTGCCATCACTAATGTGCACTGTATTATTTGTTTCAGAGTTAAAACCACCCTTCCTTGCTGGTTTGAAAACAGGTCAATTCATACCAATGGTAGAAGATTGCATACTTTGCTCCCTAAGGTGGAAAAGTACTGTACAGTCAATGCAGAACACAAGAAATATGCAGACAGCTTGGAGAAAGTTAAAATGATCCTATCTGGGTGCTAAAGAGATGACTGAGTGGGTAAGAACACTTCCTCGTCCACAGGACCTGAGGTAGAGTCCCAGCAGCCACCCACAGGGCAGCTCACAACCACTAGTAACTCCAATTCCAGATCTGACGCCCTTCTCTGCCTTCACAGGCACCCAGCACACACATGCAGGTGCCTAGGCATACGTGCAGGCATACACCCACACAAAGTTTTTTTTTTTTTATAAATTATCCTCTTTGTCTCTAGGTAGTGTGATCCTGTATATCATCTACTGTATATCTCCTGAGATTAAGAAAACGTTTACAAGTTTAAGAAAAAGTTTACAAGTGTAGATGATAAATAACAAGATCTAAGAATTGCACCTCATCTACTTGCTAACAATAAAGTGATTGCAAAAACTGGATATATTTGCTTAAGTTAAAAAAAATAAATAATAAATAAAAGATAAGAACAACTTTGCCATCAGTGAAAAATCAGTACAGTACTCTGTCAACTACTAAAACCTGCTAAGAGAAATGAAAATGATCTAGCGAAAGACACACACCACTGTTCTTCTAGGGGACTATAGATTCAGTCTGACTGCAAGGAAAATTATGATTTTTCTCAGTCACTCCAAACTGACCCAGCAAACATCATCATGACTCTTTTAGTAGACATCAGACCTGAATGAAGTGGAAGCTTACATAGGCAAGGAGATCTAAGACCATTTTGAACATGGAGATAAACACTGGAGAGGTGGCTAGGTGGTTAAGAGCACTGGCCGCTCCTGCAGAGAACCTAGGTTGGATTCCCTTGCTGGGCAACTCACAACTGCCTCTAACTCGCTCTAGAGCAGTGGTCCTTAACCTTTTAACCTTGATCCCTTTTAAGGGTGACCTAAAACCAATGAAAATGCAGATATTTACATTACAATTCATAACAGTAGCAAAATTACAGCTAATGAAGTAACAGTGAAAATAAGTTTACGATTGGGGGTCAGCACAAGATGAGAACCGTGTTAAAGGGTGGAGGCACTAGGAAGGGTGAGAACCCGCTGCTCTAGAGAATCCAGCACCCTTTGTCAACTCTGCAGGAACCTGTGCTCTTGTGTACATATCTCCATACACATGTACAAGTACACACCAAATACAGTTTTGAAAAAATGAAGGTTAACATTAAGATCCTTGCTATAAAGCTAGCGTGAAACCAACACAGTATATGTAGTGCAGGCATAAGGCAAGATCTACACAATAAAAAAGAAGTGGGGGGGGGCACCAGAATAAAGACTCAGACCCAAGGTTGTTTTATTTTTGATAAAGGTGCCATAGAAATTTCAGGGAGAAAGCACAATCTTGTAAGTAGATGGTCATAAAAGCATTAAGTACACAGGAGTAAATAAGTAAGTGCTAAGCCTTAGTTTACTAGCTATAAAACTAATTATCTGGACCACTGTTTGAGCCAACAAAAAGACCAGTACTTCGAGAAGAAGGAATGGGGGAATTTAGGTTGGAGGAAGGTTCATTATGCAGAGCAGTAGGAACACAGCCCATAGAGCGAACAACTGAACCTCACCGGAAGTCCTCAAGAGATATCTGCTATCTAAAAAGCCAGCAACAGAGTGGGAGAAAGTGTTTGCGACTCTTTACATGATAAAGACATTACATCCTAGGACTGAAGAATGAGATAACCTAACCAAATAAAAATAAGTAAGCTGGCCAGGGACTGAAGAGCACTTCAAACAATGCTAAGCCTACATGCGACAAGGTGGCCAT